TGGGGTGGGAGGGTTGAGGAGGATGGCAATGAAGAATAGGGTGGTAAGGGTATGGATGGGGTTTGAATAATGATCTCCAGGAGTTCACAGTCACTGGGATGTGAAGGGTATGAGCAGGTGTGAGAATGTTCATCACCGAATGGAGGGCATCATGCCTCTACCCTCGAAGAACAGAAGTGGCAGGAGAGGGAAGGCCTGAAGTCAAAATGAGGGGTTACTTTTCTTTGCACGGGAGGTTTGCCACATCCCAGTTGGGTGATTGTGCTGGCAGCAAGAGGCGGAAAATGCCTTGTGCTGGTACGTATGGAAAGGGTTTTGGGGAGCAGATGGAAGATGCCTGATCCTAAGCACACTTCCTCAGGGGACACACTGTGCCCAGCAAGAGATGTAAAGCTCAGGGCACTAGTGCACCTGCGGTCTGAGGTCTTCTTACCTGTGGAGTCTGGTTATGAGAAGCAGTATTAAGTGGTAGACCCTTTGCATGCACAGGGAGAAGACACCCTCCTGCCCCTGCTGAACAGCCTTTCCTCAGGGAACCCTGCATCCTGGCAAACCCTGTCTTCCTACCTGAGGAGGCTGGTTATGAGCCGACAGCAGGAGTGATAGAACCTCTGCACAGATTATTCCCTTGCAGTTACCTTTTTATTTTTCTTGACTCCCATGTTTGTATTTCACAGTTCCTTTTCTGCTCCATTTTAAAAATCAGTAATATCCTCTATTTCAGAAGATTAATTTTTTTTCCTTGTCAGATTATTATTTTCAGTTTTGCTGGGCAAGTTATTCTTGATGTAGACCTTTGTCTTTTGAAATATCTCATTCTATGTTCACCATCTCTTTACAGTTATAGCTGCCAAATCTTGTACAATCCTGATCATTTCTTCAATATTTAGATTATTTCTTTCTGATCACTTGAATTTTTTTCTTTTGCCTAGAACTCTGGGTTTTAGCAATGATCACTTTGAGGTTTCTTTCAGAAGATGATTGGAGGATTCTTTCTATTTTCACATTGTCCTCTTGTTTTTTATGTGTCTGGATAATTTAATGATTTCTTGAAATATGCCTTCTAGGTTTTGGTTTTTTTTTTGGTCAGGAATTCCATGTAATCATATGATTTTTAAATTATCTCTTGATCTGTTTTTTAGGTTAGTTTTTGATATGAGATATTTTACATTTTCTTCTGTTCTCTCATTCTTTTGACTTTGCATTAAGAGTTCTTATTTCCTGGAGTCGTTAATTTCCACTTGGTCCATTTTGATTTTTAGAGAGTATGTTAATAGGCTCTTTTCTTAAACTATTGATCCTTTTTTCATTTCTCTCCTCCATAGTTCTCAGTTATTTTATAATGTCTTTTTAAAACTCTTGTATCATTTCTTCGAAGAATTCTAATTGTTCATTTAGGCAAACTTTTTTTTTTCTTTGAGATTTTGATTATAGATGTTTTTGAGTTATTCTCTTTTAGGTTTGTGTCTTGGTAATCCCTGGCATCATAAAAGTCCGTTTTGTTTGTTTATTTACTCATTTCTTGTTTCTAAGGCCTCAGGAGTTAAGTTCTAGACCTCACTACTCAAGGAATCAAATCTAATTAAGGATGTTTCCTTTGCCCCAACTAGGCCTTTTTCATGGACACCAAAGTTCTTTCCTGTGATTAGTCTTAGTTGAAGCTCTTTCCTTTAGATGAGTCAGTTAAATCTGAATTTACCTGAGAAAGGTTACCTGAGGTTTCTCTGAGAAAGACCTAGTTGAACAGCCTTTTACTTGAGAGGGAGGAGAGGAGAGGGATTTTTTTTTACTTTTCTCATATTATGTTCTTCTACAGTCTTTTTTTTTTTTCTTGTTAAATTAACTCAGCCTGACTGAAGAGTTTTTTGTTTTTGTTTAGTTTTTTCTTCACAGTGAGATGTTGTTGTTTTTTTCCGTTAGTGGTAGGGTTGGTTTGTTGTTGTTGTTTTAACCTTAACTCATAAATCTGTCTGTTTCACTTTAGTCTCTCAAGGGATTTCTTCCTGAGTATAATTTGACATGTGCCCTAGATTTTGGAAAGTTGGATTTCAGAGGCTTCAGAAGATAGACAAGCTTCAGGGGAAGTTAGCCCAGGAGCCTGGGAGATACGTAAGAATGAAATTCTGAAGACATGAAGGGAAATAATGCCAGTGAGGAGGAAAATTTTTATTTGTCTGAAGCTACTCATGGAGATTCACCAACCAACTTAGATTTCAAAAAGAAACATATAGGAAATGAAACAAGGACAGGTAACAAAAGAGATCTATAAGAGCATGGCTCAGTTCCATAGAAATAATCCAGAATGCTCAAGAGCTGTCAGCATGCCTGAGATTGGCACAAAAAGCTAAGGGTAGCAGAAAGGGTTGGGTTTTGAGTTTGGGGTTTTTTTTAAGCTATTGTGATAGAAAAAAAATCTTAGAAGGGATAAGACCTTGGCTTGGAGAATAGGATGGTGATGACTGACAACAGAGAGAAGGATGAGTTGCTCAATTTTTGCTTTTTTCTCTTGTCTCTGCAAAGTAGCTGACCTTTGACTGGAAATGACAAAACAAAAATGATTGTTGATACCTAAGAAAGAGTACCTAGGTGCCCTTGATGAATTCAGGATTGTTGGCCCAGATAAACTATAACTTCAGGTCTTAAAAGGACTAGTAATTGTGATTGCTGAGCCATTATCTGTGATATTTGAAAAATTATGAAAAATGGAAGCTGTACTTCAAGATGAGGACAAGAAAAATGGGAGAGAACAGAATTTGCACACTGTAGGCTAGTGAATTTGACTTTGGTTCCTTGGCAAATTCTGGAACAGATCATTTTAAGTCATGGTTAGTTAACATCCTGAAAGGGAAGTGGTGTTTACAAAAAGCTTCATCAAGAATAGATCATGCCAGACAAACCTTATTTACAGTTTTATGAGGTAAATATACTAATTGACAAGTGAAATGCAGTGGCTGTAGATGACCTATCGATTTAGAATAGCTTTTGACAAAGCATCTCATACTACTGTTGTGGAGAAGATAGAGTGATGTGGATTGGACAATACTCCATTCATCTGGTTTCAAACCTGGTTAAATGACTGGACTCAAAGAGTGATTGTTAAGGGTTCAGTGTCAGCATGGCAGGAGGCCTAGTGGAGTGGATCTGTATTTGGGCTTGTGCTGTTTAACAGATTTTCAGTTATTTAAATAAAGCAATAGATGGTATATTCATTTGAGCATACATGCATAAATATATAGACATATGTGTATATGTGTGTACATACACATATACATGTGCAAGTTTATCATACCAGAAGCAATAAATTGTAGAGGGGAGGGGGAGGGGGAAGATAGTTACTAAAATTATGCCAAACTTAAGGTATAGAAAATGTGGTGAAGGGTGGAATTCATCATCTATTGGCTATTATTTTAGAGAAGCAATGTTATATTTTCATTTAATTCTTCCATCCTTGCTATCTACTATTTTATATTTCTGTTCTCTTTTGTGGCTAAACTCCTTGAAAGAGCCATCTACCTTCAGTTCCTTGACTCCCCCCTCCCTCTTCCTTGGCTTCTGACCTTATCATTCAGCTGAAATTGCTCTCAGTCAAATTACCTGTGATCTCTTAATTGCCAAATCCAAAAGCTTTTTTCTCACTCCTCATCCTTCTTGATTTCTCTTCATTCTTCAACACTATCAATTACCCTCTTTTTCTTGATCCTTTCTTCATTCTAGGTTTCCATAGCACTATTCTCTCCTGGTTTTCCTCCTACCTGTCTGACCCTTCTCTGTCTCCTTTGCCTGTATCTTCCTTCAGGACTAGCCCACTGTGTCAGTCCCCCAAAGCTCTGTCCTAGGTTTTCTCTTCTTTCTATATATTATTTCACTTGATGATCTCATCAGCTCTGGTGATGAGAGCTCATGAGCTTTCGTGAGCTCATGGGTTCAGTTATTGTCTCTGTGCAGACAATTTTCAGGTCTATTTATCTAGCTTCACCAGTCACCTTTTGGACTTCTTGAATACCTCAAAGTCAACCTGTCCAAAACTGAATTCTTTGTCTTTGCCCTTAAGTCTTCCCCTCTTCCTAACTTTTACATCAAGGGTTCCATTATCCTCCCAGTTACACACATTTGCATTCTAGGGGTCATCCTCATCTCCTTACTCTCATCTCTTTGCAACTCCCTTATCTAAACAGTTGCCAAGTCTCTTCTATTCTACCTTCACAGGGTCTCTTCTTATATATAGCCTCTTCTCTCCTCTGATGCAGCCGCCATTCTGGTGCAGGCCCTCTTCATCTCACACCTGGTCTATTGCAAACTCCAGTCCATCCTCCACTCAGCTGCCAAGTTGATCTTCCTAAAGCAGGGGACTGACCATGTCACCCTCTTCCCCTGCATTCCATAAACTCTGATGATTCTCTATTAGCTCAAGGATCAGATGTGTACAATTCTCTGTTTGGCTTTCAAAGCCATCATAACCTAGCTCCTTTCTACCTACTTTCTACAGTCTTGTTGTATTCTTTTACTATTTATATTTGTATATAACCTTACTCACTTTTGTGTATTCTGAGATCCAGTGACCTTGCTGTTCCTCATACAAGATGCCTCATCTGACTCAGGGCATTTTCTTTGGCTGTTACACATTCCTGGTTTTTCCCTCTACTTATCTCCACCTCCTGGTCTTCCTGACTTCAAGTTCCACCTAACTCTCATCTACTATCTGAAGTCTTTCCTAATCTCACTTAATACTAATGTCTTCCCTTCACTGACTATCTTTAATTTATCCTGTATCTTTTTTGTATGTAGCCGTTGTCAGATTGTCTTCATTAGAATCTGAGCTTCTTGAGACCTGGGACTATTTTTTGCCTTTATATTTCTAGAACTTAGAACAGTGCCTGGCACATAGTAGGTTTTTACTACATGCTTGACCTGCTTATTGACTGTGAAATAAGAAGCATTCAAAACACTAGAAAAACCATTTCAGAAGATGATTCCCTATAACTCCCTTTTTTCTGATCAAGGATGACAAAAATGCTGCCTTTCTTCTGATGGAAAGTGACAGACTAATCATCAGCCTTCCCAGAGTGAAGTGGACTGAAGCTGCATTGACCATGGCATCTAGGCTGCAAGAAGAATGCATAGCATTTATTGTGGCAAACTTCTCCCAGATAATACAGAGTGAGAACTTTGCTCTTCTTTTACAGGTATTGTCACCTTATTTTTCAGTTTCTCCTTTTTTGCTGATTGCATTGTAACATTTTAAAGTAATATTTATTTATATATAAAATTGCACAATTTCAATAAATTTAATGTTCCCAATTTCAGATGCCACCTACTTTATCACCTTTACCCACAATTGAGTACGTTCTTGCCTTTGAAGCTGCATATTAGTTTGTATTTCCGTTATGTTATTTGTCATCATTTGCTTTATACAGTAGTTAGTTGTGTACTTGCCTCATCTGCCCTTCTAGATAGTAAATTTGACAAGGTAGAAATCATGCTTTATTTATCTCTGTATACTTCATAGTTACCAGGATAGTGTCTTTAACATATTAAATGTTAAGTAATCCTTTGCTGAATTGTGTAGCGATGAGCAATTCTTTGTGCAGAGGAAAGGCTGCCTGGAATGTCTCAGTGTGACCCAGTGTTAAACTGGCCTGCACTGCTTTTCCAGTTGATGTTGCTCACAGATTACCAACCAAAGTGTCTGAAAACAACACGGACACCATTTGGTGGTGATGGTGGTTTTTAACTAAAAATGGAATTGTTTTCTCAGCAAAATTAACTCTCTGACTTGAGCCAAATCTTCATAGGGCTGTTGGCCCATCTAGTGTCACCAGAGGACTGATAGAAAAGCATTTCTAAGATTATAAAAATTTCCATGTAAAACAGAGGACCTTCTAGGTTCTATTTAATTAGGTAGAGTTAATGGGGTTCTTATAACTTTTTGGTGATTTTATGGGGGAGATGGAAAAAAAGAATGAATGATAATAACTTCTGGATTACTTCATGTCACCAGAGTTATGATGAATCTTCTACTATTATGTCAGCCTTTCAAGCTTAATCTTAGCTTATGAAATTGTGAGGAAAGCTATCCCATTGTACATTTCATTGTATGTGAATGTTTGTCTGCTTTTTTTCCATAGTCACAAGCAATGAGTAGCACAGCAGATCTCTTGGACAAAGTTCTTAAAGCAATTGAGAAAAACATCACCACTGAAAATAGCTGTTTACTTCTAATGGCTGTGGATACTCTGCTGAATGCTGAAAGTACAAAGGAAATGGTATTGATACAAATGTTATAATGAAAATATAACATTTACACGACTCCAGAATATTTTTAAGATTAAGAATTTCAAGGAACTACAAATGAATTTGTAATGATGATTTGGATTTAGGCATTTTAAATGATTTACTTTAAACAGTTTTTAACAATCAGTTTTCCTTTTGTTGAAAAAGTAGATGTTTTAAACTACTAACAGCCAAAAGTACCCCATTGGTTAATAAGACAATATTATATACCATTGGTTAATAATATTTACCCTTATAACAATGATGTTACAAAACCAAATTTTCTGAGTATAAAATTTATCTGAAATATTCTTGCAGATTTTGACTTTTGTAACAAATGTATATTTTTTTCTCTTTGGTGTTGGTGTCTGGTTTTAAAACTTGAGTCCTTTGGTGATTTGAGTAAAATATAAAAATTAAAATGATGCTGATGCTTTATATGCACATATTAACCAATGTTAATTATTAAGTTACGGCAGGCTAGTGGTATTTTGTTCAGCAAGAGTGATAAAAATTTAATCAAATCTAATGCTGTTCCCTCGAGTATTTGACCTTGTAGTGACTTGGCCTATTATAAAACCCCACGGAAGATACTCCTAAAGAGGTCACTAGCAATTTAAAGCAATGTTTCAGCTTTGATAGAAGAGATCTGTCTTAATACAGCACTGTAGAATTGGGGTGCTGAACAGTAAGCTTTCATTAGGAACGTGTAGTCTACAATCTTAAAAATCTAAGTGATGACATCATTCATCTAGCTTAAGGAGTAAGTAGATTCTGAAAGGAATAATGACTGGTTGCTATGACAATGTGGCTCTCCCCAGCCGCTGATTTGTTGCTTGAACACAGGGTTTTACGTGCAAGATCCAGGCTCTGCGTGATAAGCTGTGGCTCTTCCTGGTTCAGTCTTTTTATGCTGTTCGTCACACAGAAAGCTGGAGTCTGATGAGACCAGATGATCAGCAGAAGATCCAAGCAGGTGTGTTAACTGTAGAATTCTTTATCTTTATATGAGGGTTATTTTTTGCCATACATTTTGAGAATTCTTAATAAGTACCAGGAGTGGAGGTGGGATGCTTCTGTTATTTAAAGTATTAAGGTGCCATGTACAACTAGTGATAGTATATTTAGTCAGCCTTGAAACTGATGAAGCAGTTTTGGGAGAATTTCTTTTTTGTTTTGTTTTTCTAGAGCTTTAATTAGGCACATGTAAAATGGAGACAGGACTCCCTTTCCTATATACATCTGTCTGTTTCTATCTCCTGTACATTAGTAAAATTGTTCCCATGTTATTTATATAAAACATTATTAATACTAGATGAGTAATATGGGAAATTTTCATTTGCATAGAACAGTTTACTAAATATACTTTCTTCTTTTTACATATTTTATTATTAAAGCTTCCTCATTTCTTACATAAAATCTGTTTCATGTGAGTTGTGTATAAATTAGGTGGATTTATTTCACAACTGATAGCTTCAGTGCTATTCTATGTGCTATTGCAGAATCTCTAATGAGCGATATCATGGTCTCTGACATTTAACAGACATCACTTGACACATTAGAACTAAACTAAAAACATTTATTGCTCTGAATATTTCTTTGTTTCAAAAATGTTAAAGTAAAATGTTAAGGGTGTGGAACTGAAAATGGCTTCAGGACCATCTTTGTTAAAGCAGATGGTACAGAAAACATATTGGAATGTTCAATAAGAATATTTACTAAGACATTTTGGATCATGTTATTTTGCTTTATATATTTTATAAAACAAGCCATTTTATGAATTTTAACACATGATATCTGCACATAATGAAAAGTATTTATGATGATAGTTTTCATTTTTTTAATTCCTTAATTACATATTGAGTAAATGATCTAATCCATCTACCTTTTATTACTATGATGTGGGGTTATGGTTAAATATGATCTGAAGAGTGTGTAGTTTAAAGTGTTCTATCATTTCTTTTTTGCATTTAAAAATTTGGGAGAATTTTCTCATGGTGTGCTTTTCTGTTATGAATTTATGTAGCACCTGTATTTATCCACTAAAAATTCTATAGATTTTTTTTTAAAACCATGGATCAGTCAGTGGTGTAGGTGTCATTCAAAACTTTCTCCTGATTGGTAGCAAAGTTTTGGGGTTTGGGGTTTTGTTTGGTATTTTTAGGATTTTTGCTTTGCTCTTTTACAAGATTTCATGTCCCCAAGTTGAGATCCTTATAATGTTTTACATTTTAATTATTTAAAGCCATAGGAAAATAATTCAAAACTTTGAATGTCTAATCAGTAATAAAGATGGTTAATACAGGAAACTTCCCATTTTCAGATACTAATTTATGAAAATATTAGTATTATAAGACAACTTGTCTTCAGTTTCATATCTATTAAAATTTATAAGACCTAAGCTGTACAGAAATACTGCATTGGGTACCCCACCCCACAGCCCCCAAAAAGGGAAGAAACGAGATAATCTTATGCATCTACTTCTCATGATCTTTTTTTACTAATCTTTGGGAGTGATTTGTGTTAATATCTTTATGGATGTGAATGTAAAGAATTATTTGCTCACCAAGGATCAGTACCTGCAATGCCATTTTCAGGGTTCTGCTTTGTCCTACAGCATAGTTTCATAGAATGGAGAAGATTGCTATGTGGCTTCCTCCGTAAATTTAGCATACTTTTTATTGGATGTTTTGATATGTCATATACTTTATGGAAACTATCTTTACGTTATCTGAATAGATTTTTTTTAAAACAATCTCCAAAGGAATAGACATCAGCCATATGATATTAATAATCTCATCCAGTTATTTCTGTTTTCATCATGCCATTAAAATTCTTATTTGAAGAAATACATGAATGCTAGCCCCAAAGTATGATGTGTATGAATGTTTTGTTTATGATAATACAAATGTTTATTTAGATATCTTAACCTGAATCATTAAATTGTGTGTAATTTTAAGAAATTATATATTAGGCTTATGGAGCCTTGCATTTTCTTGTCAAAATCTCAACATCACTTTCCTCCAACCCTCCCCTAAATTCAACATATATTTATGGTTCATCTGTCTTAACAGATTATTTTTTAAATAGAAGTATTATAAATGTTTTTTAAAAGATATATGCAATTGTTACAAGCTGTTGAGTCTTTAAAATTGGAAAATTAATTGAAGTTAATTACCTCAATTTTAAAATTTTAAAAACTTACTCTTAGTTTATAAATCTTTTGTATACGAGAATCGATTCTTCATCTCACTTAAGGGTACATTCAGAGGTGATGTGAGCATAATGTTGCCATTAACTTGAAAAGAAACTATGGGGACCAGAGCAAGACCATGCAGATTTTATTTGAAGTTTGCAAGGAATTTGGAAGTGTGCTGTAATTGTTTTCAAGAACCCAAAATTATCTCCACCCAAACATGTCCTTCCTACCTGCTATCTTCCTGCTTTCCTTTTATGAAAAGAAATTGATTCTTAAAGAATTAAACCACTGTTTCTTTTACAGCTGCATTTGATAAGGGTGATGATCGAAGACTTGGCAAAAAGCCAATTTTCAGTAGTTCTCAGGTAAATCCCTTCATGTTCACATGTCAAATAGAAAAAAAAATTCTCAAGAATAATTTCATATTTGGTTAAGTATTGAAATAATTCGTGTTTCAATTCTGTTCCTTCATTGTTAATGATTCTTCTTCACCGGATTTTTCTTGGCACTTTAACTCAATATTTTACATAAAAGGTTCCAAAAACCTTAGTGCAGTTTTTAAGTTTTAATAACTTATTTAGAAAGAATGTGCTATTTTGTCATACTTATTATCTCACTGGCATGGATGGTAGATGGTGTGATACTTCTTCCATTTCCTTGAAAGCCCTGTTGGCAACTAAGCATGTTGGAACTGTGCCAATAATTCAAATACTTGAATTGTGGATCCAATTCAATCTTAAAATTTCCTACTTAACCTACTTCTTAAATTTTTCATTTATTCCTTTTTTCCCTGTGCTAAAGTATTTGAATTCCCATGCCCAGATGAGCTACATTCCAGAGTACTGACAGAACTGGCAGATGTAGGGGCAGCTAGGTGGCGCAGTGGATAGAGCACTGGCCCTAAAGTCAGGAGGACCTGAGTTCAAATCCGACCTCAGACCAAACACTTGACACATACTAGCTGTGTGACCTTAGGCAAGTCACTTAACCCCAATTGCCTCACCAAAAAAAAAAAAACAAAAACAAGAACTGGCAGATGTAAATGCCACTTGGTGTTGGTAGAGGCCAGACCCAGCTGATGGACTGCAGGACCGTCAGTTTCGACTCCCATCACAGACAGTTTAGTATATAGTCTATATTTCATATTCATTTATCTCCATGCATGTCATTTTCCCAAAAATGCAAACTGGCTGGTGGGGACTGCTTCATTATTGTCTTTGTACCCCCAGACTTGTACGTAGTTGGTGCTCAGTAAATGCTCATTGAATGTATGAACACTGTATTTGTAGGCTAACCAGGTAAATAGTATAGCATCATTACAATGTAATTGTTATTTCTGTGAAATTCCATAAGAAATGGATATATTTTAGATTTTGCTCAAGTGTTTCAGATCACATTGTAACACAGGTTTACCTGTAACATGGAGTTGGACTCTGAAATCGTTTGTGATGAGATTTGCACTGTGAAGTGCTTTGGTTTTCTGTAGCTGAGGCAACAGGCTACCCTGAAGCATAAGTTCATGGTCCAGTGAGATCATGTGTTAAGAGCCCACCAAATTCATTACTAAGCAGTTTTCAGTGTAACAGTGTTTTGGAAGAGCTCTAAAGGGGGAGCTGTGTGTGTATTCCAGGGGTGAGGAAGCTGTGGCCTTGAGGCCGCAGGTTCTCCACCCCTGAATTTTAGCGAGTAACTTTAAAGTATGTACTTTAAAATAAGCTTTGATCAGAGAACCAAAATGACGGATCATATATACTTGGATAAAGATGGTTTTGCCATTTCCTTCTCCAGTGGATTAAGGCAAATGGCAGTGTTGCACAACTAATGAGTATGTGAGCCCAGATTTGAACTCAAGCCTTCTTGACTCCAGACTTGAGTCAACCTGAGATTGCTTGTCATAGTGCAGAGAAGACTAGCTTTGAAGTCAAAAGACCTGAGTACAAATCCTACCTGATGCTTACTACCTATAAGACTTTGGGCAAGTCACTTCATCTCAGTTTTCTCACCTATGAAATAAGGAGGTTGAACTCAGTGCCCTCTGAGGGCCCTTCCAGGTCTTGATCCTACGATGTCATCATTGTGAGTACTTCCCCAGTGATACAGATCACAACCATCCAGGCTTTTTCGTCCTGTGTGACTACTGGCCATGTGCATTCAAATAACCTCCCTGAGGCTCCATATGGCCAGTAATACTAGGGATTTTAATCTTGATATTGTAGGTATACCAATGGAACATGCTATACCCCAATTTTTATTCATTCTTGCAATATGACTGGCTCACCTCCCTTTCTGATCATCCATATCTCTAACAGCATCCTTCATGTGGTTTCACTTGTGTGATTCTTGGTGGGTGACACATCACAGCCTTCCCAGGCTCACCATATGTCCTTCTGTTGCCCTTTGGGTGACCCTCCTTGGAGATACAGAGTATTCCATGGCGTGAAGACACGTTTGGCTAATTATAAGGAGTAGCTCTTTAATGGACTATTGCAATTCTTCAGTTCCACATTTCTTTCTTTGTTTTTTTGCACACTTTGCTCCTACTTCGAAGATCTCAGATTTAGAGCTGAAAGGGACCTTAGTCTGACACACCCTTTACAGAGGAGAAAACTGAGGCACAGAGAAGTGAAGGGCCTTCTCCAGGGCCAGGCAGCCAGATCTCATGTGGGACTGGAAGCCAGCTCTTCTTTTCTCCACTGTGCCACACTGCCTCTCGAGTCAAGCAGAATAAGTCAAACCTTCTTTCTATGTATGTGTAACCCTTTTCAATGGTATGTGGCCTGCTGCAGACTGTGAAAAGCCAATTTCAGCATGGACAACCACATACTATCAAAGTATATTTTGCTATGGCTATTTTTGGTGTCTTTGACAAGACAGTATGACAAACTCCAATAAATTGGGTGTCATAAACAAATTTTTCACAGGAGAGCATTAATTGAGAGCATAATAAATGAAAACAAAAATCTGAAGTAAATAAAGTGCTTAACTACTTTTTAAGTTCCAGGAGTTCAGAGTGGGGTGTATACAGAACCAAGTTTAAAATGTTGGTATTACACTTCATTGATAACTGAAAAATCTTCACAGATGGCAGTGATGTTGGAATGAGAGAGTAACAAAAAATGAGCAGAAGTAGCCTGAGATAGTGGAGAGAGCACCAGCTCATGTATTCCCAGGGAATCTCAACAAGCCTCACTAAATCAAGAGGGTCCCTTTTCCTTTCCAAGGCCAATTTACCAACCCTGTGATCTTAATCCAAGTCCTTCCTGTCCATACTGGAAGCTTCTCGCTCAACTGTTCCTTCTTTCTCTCTCATCTTCAGTTTTTCCTTTAACTACTGGTACCTTTCCCACCATCTGTGCACTTGCCTGCATATGTCCCATTCTTAAAAAACAACCAAAACATTTGACTTGATCTTACCACCCTCTCAAGTCATTTTCATTTATCTCTTCTCCTTTTCATGGTTAAACTTCCAAAAAGCTTTTTCTACACTCACCATTTTCTACTTCCTCAGGTCCTCATCACTTCCCAATCCATCTCAACCTAGCTACTATCCCACCACTCTACCAAAACACCACCACAGAAACTACCTTCTCCAAAGTCACCAACAATTTCTTAACTGCTAATTCCAAAGGCCTTTTTCTCTCAGTCCTCATTTTACTAGATGTCTATTGACTATTCACTTCACCAAACTATTCTCTCCTCCCAAGCTTTCATGATACTTTTAACTTGGTTCTCCTACCTTTCTGGCTTTCTCTGCATTCTCTTTTGCTGGATCATCATTCATCTCTCACCCCTGAGTTTTGGCACGCATTGAAGCTCTTTCTGAGCCCCTTCCACTCTCCTTTCTTCCTCTCTGTTCTCCTAAATATAGTATACTTTCTTTACTTGACCCAGATACATGCCCACTTATTGCTCAACAGCTAACCAAAACTATTTCTTTACCACATGGTTATCAGGCCAGAAAAACAGTCATGACTTTTATGATGAATAACCATTTTTACTGTTACTCATTACCATGAGTAATGTTTCTTTTTTGGTCCAGACCTGTGATTTCATCATTATAGGAAAATCCTGGAAACTGTCCTTCTTACTGATCAATATTAATCTGGAGTTAGCATCTCAGAGAGCTGCCTGGGGCACTGAGAGGTTTGGTTATTTGTCCCTGGTTTCACTGAGAGGGTGTATCAGAAGCAAGACTTAAGCCCCGGTCTTTCTGACTCCGAGGTTGGTGTTCTATCAGCTCTTCCATGCTTCCTCTAATGAGTAATAATTAGGGTGATGATGATCACAAAATGCTAGAGCTGTAAGAGACTTTAAAGATCATCATGTGCAACTTCATTAATTTACAGGTGAAGAAAGCAAATCTCGGAGGGGCGACGTGACTTGTCGCCAGTCAGTGGTAGAATTAGGTCTTAAACCTAGATCTTTGAAGTGCAGTGCTTTTTTTTTTTTTTAATTATGTGTTTCTGCCTCTGTAAAACACAAATGGTAGGCATTTTGTTACCTTGTTCTGCACTAGATTTTTTTCCTACACTATGCCATCTCCTTTATTGAATGTATTTACCTATGTTCACTCACTTTATTTTTTTTTTGCATTCATTTTTTTGGTCTAAGAACACTCCATAATCAGTTCTTAAGCTTGAAAGAATGTATAACTTTATATCCCTAAATTGAAGGTCTAAGTAAAACCTGTAGAATACCATTAAACTACACTTAGCTAAGCTAAGTTTAAGGTAAACTTAGCCAAGGGAGGAAAAAGTATTATATGTTTTATTACAGATTGAAGTGCATTTTAGTATCTTATTTTTATATAACCTTCAGAATAACTTTGGAAAATCTACCAGCCTTACAAAATTTTAATCCATTTATCCATTCCATGACGAGTCAGGCTAAGAAGAACTCTAAAATAAGTGAAGGTACCCAACTGCCTCCCATTTCTGTATTTATTTTCCCCTCGTCTTTCATCCTTCAGAACTTATTTTTTTATTTGACTTGTGATTTAGGAAACTCTTAAGGAGAAATTCCTTCTTACCAATACAGATCAATACCTACTCTGCAACTTCTCCTCTTAGAAAGTTGCCTGAGGTGTGAAGTCAGGTAACTTGCCCCTCAGGGCCATACCACCAGTGTTATGTGTCAAAGGCAGTACTTCCTGACTCCACGCCAGTTCTCTATTTACTGCACCATTTCATTCTACAACATAAGGAACTCAATTTGTTATTCTTCCTCCTTAGTAGTATTTGTATTGTATAAGAGGACTGCCAAAAATGGGTAGTTCTTAACTCAAAGGAAACGTTTCTCTTTAGTGGAAAAATTCAGGCACAATTGAAGGAGAGGTTTTAAGCAAGGACCTTCCCTTATATTACACCTGCTTAAAAATGTCTCCCTGATCCATGCAAGCAGCTTTGACCTTTATTCTTCAGTTATATACCATACCATAGTGTCCTGCAGTAGATAAGCAGATAGCTTTTTAAAAAAAATTTTAATTAGATATTTATTGATCTTTTCTTTTTATATTGTCTCTATTTCCCCCTGCATACTTCCCTTCTCCCCTTTGTTATAAAATCTCTCCTTTGTAACAAAGAACAAAAGAAAAAAAATGAAAGAAAAAAATTTCAGTAAAACCAATCAGCACATTGAAAAAAATCTAATATATATGCCCATGGACTCCCAACTCTGAAAAGGAGATAAGGGAAGTATATTCTCATATCTCTTCTTTGAAGTCAGACTTTGTCTTTTTAATTTTGCAAATTCAGTTTTTATTGTTTTGCAGTGGTTATTTTTCTTTTATATTGTTGTAGTTATTATATGCTGTCTTCCTGGTTCTGCTTACTTCACTCTGCATCAGTTTGTGTAGATCTTTCCATGTTTCTCTGTATTAATCACATTCATCATTTCTTACAGTATAGTAATATTCCATTACATTCGTGTATCAAAATTTGCTTAATCATGCCCCAGTCAATGGACATCTTTGTTTCAGTCAGTTGACAAACATTTCTTAAGTGTGTGCCAGGCACTGTGCTAAACACTAAGGGTACAAAGAAAGGCAAAAGATGTTCCCTGCTCTCAAGAGCTCAAAGTCTAGTAGGGGAGAAAATATGCAAACAAATACATATGGACAAGTTGTATAGAGGATACATTGCAAATAATCAGAGGGAAGGCACTAAAATTAAGGGAGATTGGGACAGGCTTTCTGTAGAAGGTGGGATTTTAGCTGGGACTTGAAGGAAGCCAGGAGATGGAAATAAGGAGGGTGAACATTTCAGTCTTGGAGCACAAGCAGTGACAATGCTTAGAGCTGAGAGATGGAGCATCTTGTTCATCTAATAGCAATCAGGCCAATGTTACTGGGTTGAAGAATATATGATGCAGTATAAGGTGTAAGAAAACTGAAATGGTTGGAGAATAGCAGGTTATGCAGGGCTTTGAATGCCAGAGGATTTTATATTGGAAGTACTGAAGTAAATATTTTGGTATATATGGAGCCTTTTGTCATTGACCTTTTTTGTTTGTTTGTTTGTTTTTGTGAGGCAGTTGGGGTTAAGTGACTTGCCCAGGGTCACACAGGTAGGAAGTATTATGTGTCTGAAGCTGGATTTGAACTCAAGTCCTCCTGACACCAGGGCCAGTTTTCTATTCACTGCGGCACCTATCTGTACCTCACTGCGCCACCTAGCTGCCCTGTGTTATTGACCTTCTTGAACTATATGCCTAGCCAGTGGGATTTCTGGGTAAAATTTAGTCCCTTTATTTGCATAATTCTACATTGCTTTACAGAATGATTATACCAATTCATAGCTTCTCTAATAGCACATTAGTACAGATTTTTCGACATATCCTCCCAACATTGGCTATTCCTATCATTTGCCATCTTTACCAGTTTGCTAGATGTGAGCTGAAACTTCAGAGTTGTTTTGATTTGCATTTCTTTTGTTATTAATGATTTGGAACATTCTTTCATATAGTTTTTATTGGTTAAAAATTTTCTGAGAACTGTTAATTTATATCCTTTGACTGCTTATCTATTGGGGAATGGTGAATATGCATTTCTTATGTAATATTTTAACCTGGACTAAAAATAATGTGAAATAAATTTTTATTCATTCCTGTGATTTAGATGTCCTTAAAAAAGTAGAATTCATGTTATAAGTAGTCCATAATTATAACATGAATTTTCCTCATCTTTGTCTTCTTTGAAAGACTCAATATTGAGTATATGCTAGTTTAAAATAGAAAGATTGCTATATGTCAAGGAGCTAAAAATGCTGCATGTTCTTTTACATCACTGTTTTCTCTTCTTTCCAGCAAAGTAGATCCACTTCAGACTCTAGTGATATAAAAAACAGATCTTGGAGAGGAAAAGACAAGAAAGTCTCCTGTAGTTACCCCTCCACTGATCAAGAGAAAATGAAATCTGATGGGCTAGGAGCTTCTGGACATGCATCCAGTATAAATAGAAATACTGTGAATAAATCTTCAAAACATGATGATTTAAAGGGAAGGGACAATAAAAAAGCAGTGTCTAAGATTACAAAAGATATTAAGACTGGGGAAAAGATTGCTTCTGGAAAGCCTAGAGCTGTTATAAAGTCTAAAATAGAAAGTAATGATAACACTAAGACCGATATGTTTGCTCAACAAGATACTGAGCGTTCTTCCTCCTCCTCAAGTGGACAGAAAAACTCAGTAAGTGGAAAAGGAGTAAAAACCCAGGAAGGAAAAGGGGCAGGAGCTCGGCCAAAAACCCTCACTGGAAGCTCCAGCACACCAGCTAAAGCAAAGCCTCTGAAGAAAACCACTGGGAAGGGTGCTTCCTGCTCAGGCCCTACAGGCACTCTCAGCAAGTCTGCCAGTTCCAGTGTGGAATTACAAAGTCCCAGCGAGTGCCTGGATGAACCAAAGGAGGGTGGATCTCTAAAGGAAGAGAAGCCTTCTGATAGTAAACCATCTCCTTGTAATTCTCCTCAAGGAAGCCGAACAATAAGAAGCAACTTGGAGACTTCCAAAGGTTCTGCTGCAGGTGGGGGGAAGGCTTCCTTCATTGTTTAATAGTTTCTGCTGAAATTCCTAGAAAAAGTGAACCTGAATGATCTTTATTTGGTTTTAAGGGCTATGGGGGAAAAAAAAAAGCCCGTTAAGCCAAGAGTCTGGAGATCTGGGCTCTAATTCTAACTCACTAATCAGAGTCTGATTTTGTTCAAGTCCCCTAATTTCTCTAGAACTTTCGTTACTTCATCTGTAAAACGGAGTGGGTTGAACTTGAAAGTCTTTCAGCTCTAACTCTATGTCCTGTGATCCTAAATTTTGTTTAGAACTAAGGCCAGTTAATTTGGTCAATATATAATTGCTGTACATTTAACACATTCTATTCCGTAACTCAAATTTGCTTAATTTATAGCAGTGAAATCCCGGCCTGTTTCAAGGAATGCTGAGGGAGCTTCCAATAAAAAAAGGGTTAATGAACATGAGACTCACATAAGTAATAGGTAGGTCTTCATTCATACTTGATGTAAGCATGTTGGTTTTTTATTTTCCTCTAAAAGTTAATCATAGTCTGACTACTTTCTGTATCAGTGATTTTTTATCTTTTTTGTGTTACGGACCTCCCACATAACACCACCCCCTCATCAGTCTGGTGAAGCCTATGAACCCTGAACCCCTTCTGGGAATAATGTTTTTAAATGCATAAAGAAAAAAAAATAAGAGTGCTCAGGAAACCAATCATTTTGTAACACAGTTATCAAACATTTTTAAAAATAAGTTTACAGGGGACAGCTGGGTATCACAGTGGATAGAGCACCGGCCCTGAAGTTAGGAGGACCTGAGTTCAAATCCGGCCTCAGACCAAACACTTAACATGTGTGACCCTGGGCAAGTCACTTAACCCCAATTGCCTAAAAAAACAAAACAAACAAACAAAAAAAAAGTTTACAGACCCCAGGTTAAGAACCCTGTTTAGATATTGTCCACAATTTGCATTTTTTATAGAAAGACAATACTTAGAAGAAGTGGCAGTTTGGTAGGGAAAAGGTGTATTTAAGTTGTGGTACTTAGAATTGATCGCTTCATCTTCATTCTAAAACTGACAGTATATGAGACTTTGGATTTTTCATTTGCTTTTCAGAAAGGAAGTAAACTGTAGGTTGAAAGTTTTTATAATTTATTGATAAAAATACATTTTATGTATATATTTATTTTGGAGTTCACATTTTGGGTTTTAAATTTGATACGTGTTTTCTTTTCTCCTTTTTTTTCTTATCAGTACAACCAAGAAGGTTATTGGTAAGGAGTCTAGTGATCAGATCTCCCAAACAGTTTTGAAGAAGAGAGGACACAGTAGTTCTGCAGGCTTGCAACGAGCAAAGAGTGCCCCATCTGGTCTTACTAAAACCCAAGGTAAAGTGGAAAGCCTCTGAAAATGAACTGTTGTATTGCTCTGACTGCTCAACTGCAGTTTGGAACTTGAGTAGCATGCAGCCAAAGTACATAGAAAACTTGCTTTTCTCCATTGAATTAACATACTCTTTCTTATTTACCCATTATTTGTAGACCCAGAATATATAAGGGCACTCATACCTTGTACTTCTTACCACAGTGTTTGCATTTAGATGGAGGACAGGAGGAGGGTTGAGTTTCTTTTTTTTCTTATTTCCTTTTTTGGTCTTATTTTTTTATAAATGAGATGAAATAATAGTGAAAAATCTCCAACTTACTTTGCATTCAGGTTCTTCTTGTTTTCTGCTCATGTATTGTTTGTGAAAGTTTCATTGATACCTAAAGGAATTCTTTCCGCAAAATGAATGCCTAAATTAGTGGTGTAACTAAGGAATCTGTAGTGTACAGGAGAGAATTTCTCCTGAATCTGCAGTGTGTGCCAATTTGCAATTCTCTGTTTTAGAAAAGTGACTAAAGTATGAATCAGATGCAGCATCTAATTTTTAAAGAATTATTCTTTTAGGATTAAACATTTATGTAGATGAGAGCAACTTATAAAGTCCAGAGTATATGAATTTGAATTAAATTATAATAGAGATGGAAATTGTCATTTGGGTCATGATAATAGCTTAAAATTAAATTAAACATTTAAAATGTTAAACTAACTCTTTGAAGAACTTAAATGTCCAAATTTAAGTTTGTTGAAATTAAGGGAAGAGGGGATTGTAACTTGAATTTTTAATGAGTTTCCTAAATTTAATTTATCCCACCCTCACCATTTTTCCATTAATACATTGTCTTAATGTATTAATGAACCTGATGAGAGCTACCTTAGAGTTGGGAATTAGCTTCCGAGAGCAAAGTAGTTGCTATTTTTTCAACAGGTGAATAAAGTGAAGTAAGCTTGTCTTCCATAAGTTCACAAAAGACCCACCCCCAATATGAGTCAAAGAATCAGGTATACATTATAACATATAAAATCTTAAATGGAGGGAGATAGATCCTATTCTCATACTTTTCTCTGAGGACTAGGTTTTTTTCTGGTTATTTGATGGAAAAGAAAAATGTGATTTTTAGGGGAGTAAAATCCTGTTATCTCTTATTTAGCATCAGTCAGTTCTACTTTTGTTCAATCTAGTTATGTGAAGTAATTTAAGATTAAATGTTGTGTTTTATTCTTTGTTTGAAAGGTGCTGTATTTTTAAACTTTTTTTTTGCTAGGATCCCAAGGAGATTCACCAAATTCATTAAAATCTACAGCTTCTCTAAAACATTCTGAAGAAAATGTGACACAGTTAAATCGTTCTACACCAATAGTTAAGAAAAAAACTACAAAGCAAGGACATGCATCTTTGGCAAAAACCAATGTGAAAACAACGATGGCCAAAACTCAAGTGCCCTCAAAGAAAGGTGAAACTGTCAACAGTAAAGACCAGAAACAGAAAACCATTTCTGGGCAGTCTACAGTCAAGTGTCAGTCTTCCCAGAGACCTTCAAGAAGTGAATCACCTATGACCCCAAAGAACATACATAACGATGGACCAAAAAATTGGGGCCAGAAAATCGAACCTGTTGGATTCCAAGCGAATGATAGTAACAAAACCAAACAAAAACAACATAGGCTACCAATTAATCCTGTGTTGGAGACTAATGGTGTAGAAGCATGTCCATCATCAAGTCTACCTGATCCACAAAAGCCATTAAATTATGAAGAAAATGATAAATCTACTCTGGAATCTGAATTGTCACTTCCTCCTATGAGCATTGAGATTGTTCCTAAATTAAATGAAGTAGTAAAAAATGAAGTAAAATCCAGACAGATTTCTAAGGATAAAAATGACACAAAATGTCCTGGTGATGGAGAAGCAGATAATTATGATGTGCCAAGGCATAGTACTGATGGGAGTGGTGATGCAGAGTCAATGTTTTATAGCAGCGCTAATCTAAAATCCATGACTTCAAGTCCAAATCCAGCCCAGCAGTGTGAAATCATTTGTAACTTTGTGGATAAAAAACATTTAGACTCAGCAAATGGAAAGCACTTGTCATCAGGGAGGGATAGCCATCTGGGACAAAAGGATACAAATATATCTGATATTAAAAGTGGGAAAAGTACTTCAGTTAGCCTTTCCGAAAGGATAAATACTACTTTTAATCCTGTACAAGATGAAAGAAAATCTAATATTTTTGAGGAAGAGCTGACCGTTACTAGTCAGTTGCCTGATGAATATTCCATGAAAGAAGATGAGCATGTTGCAAACAAATCAGATGTCTCTGACAAATGTTTTTTGAGTCAAGCACCAGAAAGAAATTCTCCTAAAGATGTGAACTCAACAGAAACACCAGAGAGCCATGAAAATCTGGAAACTCCTTTTGTGGGTCATTGGAATTTGAATACAGGTATTATACACCAGAGGGAGAGTCCTGAATCTGATACTGGTAGTGCAACCACCTCATCTGATGACATAAAGCCTAGATCAGAAGATTATGATGCTGGAGGGTCTCAGGATGATGATGGGTCAAATGAAAGAGGGATTTCTAAATGTAGCACTATGTTATGTCATGATTTTCTTGGGAGAAGTAGCAGTGATACCAGCACTCCTGAGGAATTGAAAATATATGATAGTAGTTTAAGGATAGAAGTAAAAGTGAAAAAGCAAAGTAACTCTGATATTTCCCAAGTTAATTCAACAAGTGAGGATGAAATTCCTAGGAAAAGGCCTGAAAGTTTGTCTCAACAAGGGATGGTAGTAGACCGTCCTCAGGAGAAAGAACATCTTCCACGAGGAGGTGTTCCATTTACTCAGGAAACAGACCAGGTTTCTTCCTCAGCAGATGAAACAGAAGATGAAAGATCTGAAGCTGAAAATGTTGCAGAAAAATTTCCTTTGTCTGACCCAGCTCCTCAGCAGTTCCAAGGAATTGTCAATTTGGCTTTTGAAGATGCAGCTGACAATGAAAGCCGAGAATTTCCTGCAACCAAAAATTTTAAAAGGTCAGTTCTACTTTCCGTGGATGAATGTGAGGAATTGGGATCTGACGATGGGGAAATTCACACCCCCCTTCACCGCTCCATCAATTCTCTGACTCCTGAGGTTTTTGATAGTCTTTCTCATGAACATCATGGAAAAACCTCATATTCCAGATACTCATTAGAAATTGAAGATAGTTTTTTAGAGTGCAAACAACATGAAAAAAGTGACAAATTAGAAAAAAATGGGAGCCCCATCTTGGATCCTAGTGGATTTGAGTCTGCAGGAAGAGATAAACAGGGTACTTCAGCTACAGGAAAAAATCATGCAGTGGATGTGCTGGGCAAAGCAGACGGGCCTTGTCTCCCAGAAGACACAAGTGTAAGTGTTAGGAGTGAAGAGGACAGTGAAGCACAGCAGTGCAGCAAACTTTATGATGGTGAAATAAAATCTCAAGAAAGACCCTGTCATTTGGCACTTCATCAAAGAGAGCCCGATTCAGACACACCAAAGACCAACAACTCTGCCTGGTCTGTTGACTCCCGTTGGAACCAGGTTCTGACTCAGGAAGGTCAAGTGAGAGAAATCTGCCATGCATCTACTGAAAATGCTAGTACTGCTCTTGCTGCAGGTAATGTACAGAAATAGAAACACTAAATCCTTCAGGAAACTTAAATTAACGGTCAGATTTTAAAGTTGTCTGGCGTTGTGGCCTCCATTTTAGCAAGGTAGAATAATTGCTTGCCAACTAACTCAAATTTAAATGAAACTTAAAGTTCTTTTAAATCTGAACCAACTAGTTTGTTTCTTTACTGCTTCTCTGGAATATTAATGAAAAATAATTTACTCTTTAGTAAAAATTTTTGATAGTTATTAGAGCCATTCTATTAAGAGATTTTATGCGAAGGAATAAGAACTCAATTTCCTGTAATATATTTATTTTCTGTCTAATTTAAGAGGCATTATTGATTATCAGTAGAAATTTTGGTATACATCAAGTGTGCTTATTGAACTATGCCAATGTATATCTAAGAGGGATGTGCAATAACTATAGTAACAATGTAACGAGAGCATTGACCTATTTTAACAACTATATCCATTATTGTAGCAATTTATATAAATTTTACAGAGATTAAGACTTTCAGGATCGCTGATTCTATTCTAAAATTTTCCAATAAAAAATAAATTTCCTAAAAGAGATTATATTTAGAAGCAATGACCACGTATGAAAGAGCTTTGGCTTGTTTCATATGGTTTGATAAGTTCTTGTCTAGTTGTTTTTTTGCCTTTGTCTTCATTATTATAGTAATTCAAAGTAGTGACCCATGTTTAAAATATGCAATAGCTACCTACTAGCTGTTGTGTATTAAGAACGAATGAAATGCTGACCAGCACGTTCAGCAAAACCATAACAAGTGATCAGGTGATCTCCAGGTTGGACTTTTTTGTTTGTTTGTTTGTTTGTCCTTGCCTGCAGCTTCTCTTGCATGTGCAATAGATGAATAAGCCTTGGGATGGAATGCTTTTGTTTCTCCTCTTTGAAACTGATTTACCTTAAAAGTCACCATTAAATTACCATGTCTTTTTTTTCTCTTTACGTTGTTATTGTAGAGAATTAGATGCCTGTGTGCATTCTGTGTCTGTGTTTATATGATTTATGTTATTTTCTGTATCAGAAGTTTTCTAATTACAGTATGGAGACTTATTGTGAATTACCAATGGTGATTTTGCCGCTTAAACTTCACATATAAACAACATCCTTCGTTTTTGTTTTTGTTTTTACATTAAAAATGCTTCAAAATTTTGTCAATTTTGTATAAACTTTTTTTTGTTCTATTACTTTGTTGGATTGTCACTGGTAGGTCGAGTTAATATTGCTCTACAAAACCCTGAGGGGGCAACCAGCATGTGCAGTCTTTACATTGTGTAGTCTTATGAATTATTTCAGGAGACATAGATGATTGTGACACATTGGCACAAACCTGCATGTATGAACATCGGCCTCCAAAAACCCTTTCTCCAATCTGCGAGATGGATGTTGTAGAAGCTTTTGAGCAGAAAACGGATTCAGAAACACATTTCGCAGGCATGGATTACGAAGATGACCGACACTTTGCAGAGCAGGATTGGACTCTTCTAAAGCAGCTGCTGTCTGGGCAGGATTCAGACCTCAATCTCAGAGACTCGGTTCCTGAAGACCTCAATTTAGCACGGTGTCTGATCAATCAGACATTGCTTCTGGCACGAGATGGCTCACAACCTCAGGGTAAAGCGCATGTGGACACTTTGAGTGGATGGAGGGAGCTCACATCTCCACTTGGTGACTCTTCAGCAAGCCTCACTGTGACAAGTTTTTCTTCTGAAGATTGTTCTTCTCCCCAAGGAGAATGGACAATTCTTGAACTGGAAACGCAACACTAAAGAGGTCAAAAACTTTGGAAAATTTTGAACTTCTTTACCCCTTTTTCTTTATGCTTCTATCCATATGATAACTGCATTGGGCCAAAGGCAGACAGCCCTGGGCGTGGAGGGGCTTTCCTATCTTTTCAGTTTACCGAAGTAAATGTAGTTCATTAGTCAATGAGATATAATCACAAGTGGGGAAAAAGTTCAAGGCTTCAACAAACTTTTTTCTAAATATCTTGAGCATGTTGCTATAGTTCTTTGAGAAATGAGAAGACTTGAAGGAAAATTCTTGTTTCATTTTTCCTTTCCCAACTGGTCATTGGTTCACTTGTCCTTTAATCCTCAAGATGGGAATGCACAATAAGTAGAGCCATCCCATTTCTTCTTGCTCTGCACATGGTAACATGGTAATTTGCAACAATAAAATACTCACTGTGCTTGTGTCAGTTTATCTGTACCTCATCCATGCTTAGAACATTCAAACTGTGAAAAGCTGAGTGCCAGCCTAGGGTGACGTTGAGTTAAGGTCAATGCTGAACATCAGGAAAGCCTTACCCTAGTTTTCCTAACAATTTATATTGAAGAAGTAATGACAGTAACTCACCTAAGACCACTACCACTTTCTGTTAGATGAGGCAAGTGGTAAATAATGTAAATCAGGATTGAGGTGGGAAAGCAGGTATTTAAAATCCCCTTGCCTTACTTCCCCTGCTTAGGAAGAATGAGGAATTCCATCTTCCTTATCTAAACACATGTTCAGTTCCTTCCCTGTTTACTTCATGAGAGAAATCTCTTGGGACAGTGTATTTGGGATGGATGTCGACCGCAGGGTAAGTGAGGGGAGATTTCTGGGGGCTCTTTGGAGTTTGGTTTCCATTTCAAAAGTCATTCTTGGCTTGGTGAATGTTTTCTTTGTGTGGCTCTAGTTCCTAGTTCCTTTTTTTCTGCATCTGATTACTATTCCCTATTAGGGTTGAAGATGAAACTTTATTCTGTACTCTAAGTATTTGAATAAGTATTTGAACAACTAGATGTGACTCACCCTTAGATTGACACAAAATATAACTAAATGTATTAGATTGGCTCTAATACCCTACCCCCTCAATTTAGCAAACCGCAACCTAACCACTATGGAGAAGTTTACATCTTGGATCTCCTCATTGCTTGAAATAGCTTGGCCTTCAAGATTTGAGCTCTGAAATTTTGTGAAGTTACAAAACCATGAAGATTGGCTCGCTGCATGTTCAGTTAGGTAACAAACTGAGCCCTCACTGATACACAGCAATACTTGTATATATCTCTGTCTAACTACCTATTGCAGTCTCTTCAATGGCTGTTCTGAGCCTCTCTTTACTGTCCCAGCTCCATCCCTAATTTTCTCTCTCTCAACAGATGCTCTTACTTCCTACTCTATTGAAAGACTGCCATCTCGCCCATTGTCTGTGCTTTCATTCCTCTCCTTTAGCCCTCCCAAGGCAAACCCCTCTATTTGTACCCTTAATCCCATCCCCTTCTATCTCCCAGACCTTGTTGCATTGATCGTTTCAACACTCTGTCATCTTCGTTCTCTCCTACTCTGTTTACTCCTTTCCCTCAACCTATAATTGTGCTCAGTTCCTTCTTGTACTAAAAAGATGTTTATCTTGACCTTGCCATCCATCCTTTCCATTATCCTATATCTTTGCTCCCTTTCACTGACAAACTAATTGGAAGAGTAGGTCCCCTTGCTTCTTCTCTTTCCTCACTAAACACTCCTCAACTCCCTGTAGTATATGATCCCATAGATCTCTGGATTGCCTAATCCAATAGCCATTTCTCAGTTATTTTCCTCAAATTTTGGACAGGATTTGACACTGTTGACCAATATCCCTCATTCTTGATAACATTCTCTCTTCGCTTCCATAACACTCCTCTCTCCTGATTCTCCTTTTAACTCCCTACCTTCTCAGTCTTCTTCCCTGATTCATTTTTCTTTTCCTGTCCTCTGAGTGGGATTGCCCCTCGAGCCTTTTATCCTTAGCCCACTTCTCTCTCTACACTACCTTCCTTGGAGATCTTACCCATTCCCAAGGTTTCTGTTATCTCCTCTATGGAGATGACCCAGAATCGGTATCTAGCCCCAGCCTATCTCCTGAGCTTAAGTTTCACATTTCCCATGCCTACTGGGTATCTTCCCTAAATGTTTTTGGCACCTCAAGTCAACATAATTAAAACTGAACTCATTATCTTGGTTTTTCTGTTTCAGCCACTTCCAGGCTTCTTATTTCTGTCCTGAGATTATACAGGTGACGCTAGAAGAGAGCTCAGCAATCATGTGGTGTTAAGAGCACTGCCGTCTTTCCAGGCTCCGCTTTGACTTGCTCCCGGCCTCATCTGAGTCTTCCTGACTTCCTTTTCTCTCACTTCTGCATCTTCCCTCCATTCACTTTTCACCCACGTCTACCGTAATTGCTTCATAAGTGGTCTCCTTGCTTCCAGGCAATGCCCTCTACCCACTGTTCTTCACATCGTAGATAGATTATAAGGCACAGGCCCAGCTGTGTCATCTGTGCAAAAATCTGCTCCTTATTGCCCATTACAGAATAAAAAACAAACTTCCATCCTGGCATTTAGCCCTTCTGCAGTCTAACTCCAGTCTCAATTCTGTTCTTATGTCATACTGCTCCTCTTCAGAAACTTTACATTCCAAGCAAACTAAGCTATTAGCTATTCGATGATTTTTTGGCCTACGCTTTTCTACCTCCTTGCTTTTGTACAGACAGATGTGTTCCTGGAACACACTTCTTCCCCATCTGTATTGAAGGCCCAACTTAGGTAGCACCTCTTCCATGAAGCCTTCCTTAATTCCCCCAGACAAAAGTGGTCTTTCCTTCCTCAGATTTTCTTACAACCCTTTCTCTGTATCATACTTGTGTATTTATCTTATTCCCACTATTAGATTGTAAATTAAGTACAGAGACTGTTATTTTTCATCTTTGCATTCCCAGTATTTAGTAAATCACTTTTGTACATAGTAGGTACTTAATAGTTACATATTAAATTGAGTTTATACTCATGTTGAGGGTGGGGGAGGAGAGCATAGGGCGATAAGGAAATACGTTCCCTGCATTTGGAAGCAAGACTTGTCTTAAAGAATCTATAGTTTGTCAGTTTGCGGCTAATTGCAGTAAATATAATAACCATGAATACTTAATTTTGTGTGATTAGAAAACCATGACAATTATGTTGGAATTATTAGTGACCTAGATGCCTTTTAGATATTTCAGTGGATCTATGGATTATCAGTTTTGAATACTCTTTCCATTGATACTGATTGTAACATCCTTATGTGAGATTTTAATACAGTGTGTTTCAGGAATTTCTTCATATGTGTTCTACCTAATGTACTAAAGAACTCCTAATTCTTTTAATATTTGTGGATACTTGTGGAACACTCAGACTTTCAGTTGTCCCTAATTTGGTGTTTGACCATCTCACTTTCTTTTCTGATCACATACATCCTCAGTGATTTTTATGTCATGTTTCACATCCAGGATATCATTGGTAATATGCAATAGTCTATTTAGGCCATGCTTCTTTCCATTGCCTTTTGGGTCACCTGCATTTTGAATCTTCTGAGATCTTTGGGTTCGTGATTCCCTGTAATACCATAATGTTACCTGGAGAACATTAATGTTAAAAATCTAGGCTTTTATAGCAAGTAGCTTGCAGTCATCGAAAGCAGTACACAGTGTTTAAATGTGGTGTTGTAGTTGAGTTGTTTTTCAGTCAGGCCCAACTCTTCGTGACCCTATTTGGAGCTTTCTTGGCAAAGATATTTTCCTTCTCCAGCTCATTTTACAGATAAGGAAACTGAGGCAAACAGTGTTAAATGGTTTGCCCAGGGTCACACAGCTAATTGTCTAAGGCCAGGTTTGAATTCAGGTCTTCCTGTCTCCATACCAGGCACACTCTCCACTGTGCCACCTAGTTGCCACTTAAATGTAATCCAACCCAATCTTCTACTTAATTTTGGTCATCTGTATCACTTGCAAATGGTATAAAAACTGTTGTATTAACTTTGGTTGAATGAGCTGCCCATCCAGATATATGTTGTAATCTGTATCATATTTATGTTTTTATAATTAGTCTGATCTTTTGAAAGAGCGTGGATTTTGTTGAGAAGTTTTATAGCCTTCTAAGGCTCAATGAAATTAGTACATGTCACTTGCAAATTTGGAAAACCTCATAATAGATAGGAAATCCTATTTATACTTCATTTGGAGCAGATGTTGAACAGTTATCTCCACAGTTGCATCTGTCAGAGAGTCTGGTCAGATTTTAACTGGGAAATCTTGTTTTTAAAGAGCCTTCAAGGGAACATTTTGTTCCCAAGTTGAAGTTAATAAAAAACAGGGATCTTTTACCCTCTATTACTCTTAATGAGTTGTGTGATGGCAAAGATATTGGGAAAATAATCCTCAAAGCTTCCATGTCGTAATTTTCATCAGAAATGCCATAAATGTATTGGTAGGCTTTTCGCATATAGATTATACAGAGAGAGATGAGAAAGTAGGTAGGTAGCTGCTGATACCTTTTTTGGTTTAAAAAATGTGTCATCTGTGATCTTTTACTTTCTTTTGCAACCTTCTCTTAGTGATACATTGAAAATTGATCCCCAAAATATATTACCTCCAAGATAGATTTCTACTATATATATTTGGTCAGATTTAGTAGCTTTTCCTGACTTAATCTTCTTAAGTACCATTGCTACTTTATTTTTTTATTTTAAAATTAATTTATTTTTAGTTTTCAACATTCACTTCCATAAGTTTTTGAGTTTTAAATTTTCTCCCCCTCCCACTTTCCCCCCCTCCACATGATGGCGTACAATCTGATATAGGTTCTACGTGTACATTCTTATGAAACATTTTCATATTAGCCATGTTTTAAAGAAGAATGCTACTTTCTTAATAGAGAACATCAGTTAATAGTCTAAATCTGATATATCCAGATAATGTGTCATTTATTCTTTGTTGAGAATAGATCAATATGGAAATCTCAGCAGATCCATTCCATTTTATACTAATTTGTTGTCCTTTCAGTTTCATATATAAATAGTCTCACATCAGGTTTCCTGTAGGGTTATTTGTGCTTTTTCAGCATTTGGTGAGTAGTGCGCTGCTCATAATCATCTGTCATCTGAAGACATACTAATGTTTTGCAAATGAGCTTGTACTCTATGCCATTGTTGCCCTCAACTACCATATGAATGCACAGGAAGGAGAGTGCACGTTTCTGGCTGAGTGGTGTCTGAAACCTGTCGGTCTACTTGTGATGGGACTGTTTGACATTGGCTTAACTCAAAAAAAAAATGCTTATAGTTGGAGTTCTTTGGCCCATTTTCTATTTTTCTGGAGCTGACAGTTTGGCAGAGATGGGACAACGATCACAGACCACAGAGAGA